ACGGTCTATTTTCCAACTTTTTTCACATATAAACGGCACCGGACTATAAGGCGCATTAAACGAAACACAACAGATAGATAAGTCAGTCAAATTTTGTTCAATTGTAATGCTTAAAAAAATAAATACTGTCTGAGATGCTAAATTGTTAGAGTATTCACAATAAGTCATAATTGTTCAAACAGTTGGGTGATTCCGGCGTCCACACGCCCACATCCCTCTCGTCATTATCCGAGTCAGTGTGGTTACTGTTCCCTGCAGTTCAGTGATGATTCTGGTCTTGGTGAAAGCTCGGACCACAGTTGATACTGATCCTTAGTCCAGGCGTCCACCATCCATTGGCAGATCGTGGTGTAAGTGGCTCGGCGCTGTCTCTGTCTTGGTGAATGTGTGTTCTCCTTCTCTCATCCACTGCTCCCACACACCTCACACTTTCACTTTATAATAGTCTTGAGTTTAAAGTGGGTGTTGTAAGTGTGTCTCTTGACAGGTGCATTTTGATATTAAAAGGAATCACAGTATGTATTACTCCGCGATGCTCCTGTCTACGGGAGTAGTAATGCTGCAAGTGGTGCGGCTTTGTACTTTACTAAAGTCGTACTAAGACGCCCCAATAAATTCATATATAAGGTGCTCTGGATTATAAGGCGTGCAGTCGTTTTTTGTTGAAATTAAAGACTTTTAAGTGCGCCCTATAGTGTGGAAAATACAGTATTATAAACTATTGTTGTGTTTCAGATGATTCACAACATTCTATAGGGAAATAATGTTACATACAAATGGGGGCAGCTAATATTGTTCAAATTAGTGTTGTCACAATATTAACATTACAGAGTCAGTTTCTATTCTAAAATATAGACAGTGTACTCGATACTGACTTTGATACCCAAATAATCTTTTTTAGACAATATTGTAATTTTAAACACAAAATAATTTTGTTAATAAATGTTGTTTATTACACTATGTGCTCTCATACTAGCTCTGATAAAACTCAAGATGGAACTGGTCAGGAAAGGTCACATTTTATCCCGTTATGTGATCTAGTTTAAGTATTGATTTGATTTTTTTCGATAACCTTAGTTGAAATTAGGGATGGGCATTCGATTACATTTTTTTAATCGATCGTCGGAAGAATTAACAATCGATTATCGATTAATCATTAACGTTTTTATATTAAAATGATCATCATTATTATTACTATCTGCACTACTAATCTGCATACATAAATTCAACTTTAAGACAAATAAACCGTAACCACTCTAGAGCCACATCAGCCCGTTTGACATTATAATGTGTTTAATTCAGTTTTGCACAACTCTCACAGAAATGAAACTTAAAACCGCATCGCTAATTTGCATAAACTCAGCGAAGATAAAACTCCAGCTCTTGTGTCGCTGATTCGGTTCAACTTCTGTCGGATTAAAAGACATGACTCAGTGGAATACAGGTTAGTGTGACCAGATTTGCGTTTGTCAAAACCAGGACACCGTACGGGGGGAGGGAGGTGGGAACTAGAGGTAAGATCTTAAGACCGAGCCCAAGCCCGACCCGACCCGAAATTTCGGGTCGGGTCGGGTCTAAAATGTCAATCATTACTTCGGGTCGGGTCGGGCTCGGGCTTCAAATAAATATATGTTTATAAAATGTATGCTAAAACGATGTGAGGATACTAAACTAAGGAATACTTGTTATAAAATAAATAATATGGATAAAACAGAGAAGTAATGTAATGTAATTGCTATTTAACTACTAAACAGGATCCGCAGAGCCAGAGCTCTGCGCACCATGAACGCCCTCTTAATTTAATCATCTTCCCCTCCGCAAGTCTGCATCTATTTTGACCTGGTATCCCCAATATGGAGGAGCAAGAAGTTAAACTAAAGGCAGGAGAACTGAAAAGACAAACACGCACCGGTAAGAGTGAGGTGTGGAAAAGCTTCAAATTGATTGTTGAAAATGCTACAGAAACTTGCGTTGTCTTCGCTGAATGTGGCGCTTTGCTTCATACGAGAGCAAAAAGAGTCACAAATAAAATATGACATTTCGGGTTTGCTTCGGGCTCGGGCCTGCAAATCAAGTTAATTGGTCGGGCTCGGGCCGGGTCGGGTTTTAATACCCGCGGGCCGGGTCGGGTCGGGCTGGATTTTTTAGGCCCGATCTCACCTCTAGTGGGAACTGACTCATTGACTTTGAGCAACTCTCACCTGGCAAAACTTTTTCCCACTGGACACTGAAACATATGTGCTGCTTTATACACTGTGCACATGGACTCACACCGACCGGAACAGAAAGCGTGGAATTTCTTGTACAAGTCATTGTTAAATACGCATTTGTGCTTCGGTACGTTGCAGGCGGACCAAATGTTTATGTTTGTTCGCTTCTTCTGAGTGCAGAGAGCTACATGTACGGACCTCCGTTTGGTCACGCTACGCACAGCAACCTGCATTCGGTTTGTCGATTAAAATTAACGTAATCGATGAAATTCTTAATGATCAATTATCGATTAATCGACTAATCATGCCGATCCCTAGTTGAAATGCATTTTTTTTTATAATACAGAGCGTTCTAGAGTCTAATCAGTTACGACAGAGGTAGATACTGTTACATTTACTTGTAGCGCGCCTTGAAATATGATTAATTTGTCTCGTTTTTGTGTCTGAGGAGAGAGAAATGCAATGTAATATGTAAATGATATGTGACCTGTGAGCTCTGAAAACAAAAGTCTGATCGGACAGTTGTACCGTGCTGCTTAAGATGCAGATGAGGGTGTGAAGACCAGACTTATATCACTCTAGTATCACTCTAAGTCTGTCCTTTGAAGATACCATATTTTGTGCATCATTTATTTCTTCCAATTACATTAACTCTAAATTATAAATGTTACTCTACTTCAGTAGTTTTCCCAAATACCTAATATAACAACTAACTAATGGTTGTACAGTGTCAATAAATACGACAGCACTTTGTAGTTTGACTAGTGTGGTCATGATACAAACATTTCTAACTCAATACTAAGGAATAGACTCTATACTCAATATCGATTCTCATACTACAATGGCAATAGAATGTGATTTTCAACATTAAATCATAGTACTTTCGTTTCTATTCCCATGTGGTCTTATTTGTGTGTAATCCCTCAGTGGTACAGTAGGTTCATAGTGTCTATGTGCTCTTATACTAGTTCAGATACAGACCAAGATCATTTTATAGATACTCAGGAAAGCTTCATTTCTGTACTACACAATGCCTGTGTTCCTTGGTAGCCGAGAAGAAGTAGAACTGGGTCCAGTAAAAATGATGACGCATTGAATACAGCGTAAAACAAAGAGGCTGGATCCATTGTGCATCTGCAAAGAATGGGAAACCCGTATACTATCAACCACAGCGGGAAGGTACGGATGAGAGCAGGAATATTGCAAAGATGAACGCTGTATTGATCAAATAAAACCAGAAACAAAAGCAACAGCAATCAAGAAAAATGACAGCTACTCAACTGTCTCCTTCCCCCTGGCCCAGATGAGAGCGCACCCTTTAACACTTCCACGTCCACGCACACACACACCCACACACACACACCCACGCTCACGTGACCCCACCACCTTTCTACTCCAGGACACACACACATGCACACTGTGCCCAGGTCATGTCTTCTATAAGTACTCTTACTTGAGTAATATATTGTACAGTGACAGTACTCTTACTTGAGTAATATATTGTACAGTGACAGTACTCTTACTTGAGTAATATATTGTACAGTGACAGTACTCTTACTTGAGTAATATATTGTACAGTGACAGTACTCTTACTTGAGTAATATATTGTACAGGGATGTAAAAATAACCGAAATATCGTGATATCGTATCGTCAAAAGTCTCACAATATTGTGGACTGTCACAATATATCAAATCACAAGTTTCTTTGCTTAAATGCATGGTTTTATATATAGGGAACTACATATCCCATGATTCATTTCAATGCAGACAACATGAAGATATGTTTTTTACTTGAATTCTTGGGATTATAATGGTAATAATTCACACCAAAATCTTGTCAAGGTACTGCAAAAGCAAAAAAGTGTTCTATCTACAATTATATCAGCCTTTTCAAAATCTTGCAATAAATATCGTACCATGAGATGCATATCGTGATAATATCGAACGGAGAGGTTTGGATATCGTTACATTTACTATTGCTCAATATAACAGTACTCTCACTTGAGTAAAAGTTGTGGTTACTCGTCCCACTGTGAGTAAATCCACAAGTGACAAACGTTTTTCTTACACTAATACTAACTGATGTTACTCTTTAAGTCACTCTACTTAGTAATTTCTCACACCACAACTGTGTACCTATGTAACACTATTGTGAAGTAAAGTTTTCGGTTATCCACCTCTGTCAATTATTACAGATCAATAGATTTACATATTTCCATAAAGCGTGTAACTATTAAGTGTAAGAAGGAAACAAGAACCAGGTCTAAACAGCCAAGTTGATTTGAGTATTTTTCAGAGAAGTTTCCAGACACTATACTTGTACTTCTACTTGAGTAATATATTGTACATTGCGATACTCTTACCTGAATACAATTTTGGTTACTCTTTTCTGTTGACAATAGATTTAAGCATTTCTGTTTCTTGCATCACTCCTTCAGATTTGATTCAAGTTTCCTCGCTTTTATGTTTGCCCTTTGAAAATATCAGTTTGTGCATGATTTAATGTTTTGTTCTCACACTTATTAACTTTAATTATAAATCAGATGTTACGTCCATACGCTTATTCTTACTCTAACTTTCTCCAAATACCTGAACCTTGTACTTTAAATTTAGATATTTTGAAGTACTTTCCTCAAAACTTACTAATTTTTGTCTCCTCTACCAATTTCTGCTTGTAGCCACGTATTTAATCACTTCTACATACAGCTTTGACAGTGAGTAGTTTGCAACTTTTTTCCAGCTGCCTGCATACTTTCCATGTACCGTGCGTAATCCTAACCAAGCACCCACCTTCCCAAACTTCTGATGCTGGACGTACAGCTGTCCCTCCTTTACGTGGGCGTCCATTCGGCGCAGTGTCTCGCAGGAAGAGGCGCTGGCTTGAACTTGTCTTAAGAAAAAAAACTTTTTAAAAATCCCAAATATAACGGGCTTCTTACTTCTTTCCCCTGCGCCCCGTTTGGCGACTGCGCTATCCAAACATCGCGATATCCAAACGGCGGTGGAAAACGAAGCGAAACATGGCGTTAAAACTTCAGCCAGTAAAGTTTGATGGAGTTGAAGCCAGTTGTCCCGTTACAGGGCTGGCTATCGCGTGCGTAAAGTTACCAAACGACGCGCGCCTTCAAATTAAATAGCGTTTCTTGCAATGCGTCGCTCTCTTTAACAATTCACGAACGGCTTTGGAATCAAAAAGAAAATAAAACGCTGCTGTAGTGAGAAGAATGTGATGCTGAAAGCTCCGGTGTCGCAGCAGCAGTGTCCGCGCGCGTTTCCTCTTCCGTTTCTCTCCGCCTCCACGCGCAGATCCTCTTGTGTAACTTCTCCTTTTGCTTCGGAGCGATCGAAACTTCGTCCACAACACGCGCTCACGTTACGGTCAAATGAACCGTGCTGTTTGTTTGCAGAGCTGTGGGAAACGCGACTGCAACGTATATATGTGCACTCGACTCAAGTGAAGTGATGCACGCTCTTCAAACTGTGCTGTCAGGCGTTCTTACCGTGTTATAACGCGGTACCGTGCGCCCTCTGCTGGTCTTTTTCTTTATTGGCATTGACAGTGAAGAAAATTCTAACTAGGAACAAACTAGGAACTTGTTTCAGCGTTATGGTGAAGCATAAATAAATAATATAAATAATGGGTAGCACTTTATAATAACTCCTCCTTATTAAGCATTATTTAACACACTTGTTAATCATTAGTAAGCAGTTACCTCTTAATTACTTCTCATCAGTTAATCATTTATAGATGTATATGCAGTGTTGGGGAGTAACAGATTACATGTACCGGAGTTATGTAATCAGAGTACAAATTATGAGTAACTGTATTCAGTTACAGTTACTGTTTCAGTGAGTCGTAATTGGATTACAGTTACTTTGTTGAAATAAATTGATTACACGGCGATATTTTCCTGTTTTTACATTTTGGGCTGTATCCCCCTCTTTTTTTTTTTTTTTTTTTTTTTTGCCGTAATTCCACTCATTGCCGGACACTAAACCAGGACTAAAACCAGGACTAAAACCAGGTCTAAAACAGGATTTAACAGGACTAAATCATGCTGTGTGGACCGTGTCTCCTCCTCTTCTATCAATAATATTTGTTAATACGGTTAAGGAAAGTCTGGGCTTTAAGCAGACAAAATTTATGTGAAGATTTCCTCGTCTTTGCTTCTCTACCGCAAGTCACGTAATCCAAAGTATTCAGATTATTTTACTCACTTTAAGTAATTTAATGGATTACATTACAAACTACATTTTGGGGTATGTAATCTGTAATCTGTAGGGGAATATATTTTAAAAGTCACCTTTCCAACCCTATGTATATGTTAATGCTTTGTCCATGGTGAAGAAGTCATCTTACAGCCATTTGTTAAGCATTATTTAACACATTGGTTAATCATTTGTACACACTTACCTCTTCATTTTTTCACGTGATTTAATCATTAGTAAATACGTTATTTAATGTCTTTAGTCATCATTAGTAAATCATTACTAATTCATTAGTACTAATCAACTATTCATATGTAAAAACATTGTTACACCCAAATTTATCAAATTCTTAACCCACATACTCAACTAATGATTTGTTACTCATTTGTTAATGGGGTTATTCCCCAGTATTGATCAGTTATAAGCACTTGTACATGGTCATTAGAATAGGTTAAACGGGGGGTGTTTACGCTCACCACATGACGACCACCCTTCATGGAGCTAATATATTCTTCTAAAGTGAGAATTGTCTGTGCTTTACAAAACATTATCAAATGACTTTTAAAGCTCACTCATGATTAACTCATCAGTTATAACTGCTTACTTAAGTATTTTGTGGGAGTTCTTCTAGTGAGAACTGTATATGCTTTACAAAACATGTACAAATGACCTATTAAGGTTTGTATTAATACGACGACATGTCATGAAACCACACCATAGAGGGAAAGAAAATAACAAATATTTAATTGGTTGTATTGAACTTTTCAACAGAAAAGAATATGCATCCATTTAAACAAATTAATACAAAAAAACTTATACATTCCAAGAAGTAACTGAACTGAAATTAATGTCAATAAAAAAAAAAAAAAAGAAAAAAAAAAGTCCACGTGTGCCTGCATCACTTCTTTTTTATTGGAAGAAGTTTCTGTTTAGTTTTGAACAGGGCTACTCTGTCAGCCAGCTCCTGATCTGCCTGAACTTTGGCCAAACACTCAACAGCAATGTCGCTTAAAATTTTTTCATTCCAGAATTTTTCAACACCTCATTGTAGGTGTCTGGAGCCACAATGAAGAACTCTGCAATGGGAGCATTTTTCACGACGGTATTGCAGTCAATACTGACAAGCTTGAATGCACCAGACATGATCCCCAGCTTCTTGTAAAGGTGCAGGATCTTCTTGTACCTTTCTACAACTTGATCAGGCTTCTGGCCTGTAATTTACACAATAAAATGTAGATTTTGCAGATATATTTCAGCACAGATTCCAAAGATCTGTCATTAATTTTCAATGAGATTTTTCAGTCTCTCAAAAAATTGTATTTATTTTTTTCATTAAAGTGTACTGCTCTGCATGCAATGTGATAATAACATTTCAAATAACAGCATAGTGATTTTCTATGCACTGTAGTAAGTGGACATGTGGACCCCTCCTAGCCAACCTGGAGAATTCAACATTCAGAAGAGCTCAGCAGGAATAAACTGAACAAAAATGAGGTAAGATTTAAATTATTGTTTTACCTCTTTGCATGTATTTTGATTCTCTCTTTTACTTCTTCACAGCCTTCGTCTTCTTCTTCCCCTTCTTCCTTTTCTTCTCCTGTGATGAGGATGTGGCAGATGACTCAGATGACTCAGAGCTATTGTCCACTGAGGTATCTGAAGAAGAAGATGCCTGAATATGGTTCTCCCCTGAGATACTGCTCGCCCTTGTGCTACTGCTCCCCACTGTACTAGTGGCATCAGGATCCCTCTTAAGAGCTGTAAAAAAATACACAAGGAATGGAACAGAACACATGTAAAATCTGCATGCATTAAATCCTGAGCTGGAATAGGCAATTTCTGTTTATTAATGGTCAGATTATAATAAATGTTGTGTTATTATATTTAATTGTGGCAATGTGTTTCTGCTCTTATGGTAAAAAAGCAGTAACACATTGCCACACTAACTCCCCCCCTGCTGTGCTGAGCAGGCGCTGGGACTGTCCTAGTGTATGAACTGAACAGCTGAACAGTAGCCTGGGCCTAGGTCAGTGCAGTGTAGTGTATGGGTGCAGTGTACATCAAAGAATAATACCATACTTGAACTAAACTACTGTGTTGTGAGACAGACCTGCTGTAAGTTGTTCTTTAAGGTAGTCTCGTTCTGTGGGGAGCTCCTCAATTTTGTCGTTTTGCCACTTCATCCTCATCTTGCACAGCTACAATTCACGAGCCATATTTGTGGCCACCAGCCGAGCTGTTGTAGCCATGGACACACCTAACAAGCAGAAATACTTTATTATCAATAAAATCTAGAAAGTTCTACAGTATCCCATTGGACCCACAATGAAAGACACATACACACATGCACAGAGAACTTTTTTTTTTTTTTTTCTGTCCAGTACTAATGACTTCATATACCAACATAACAATAACAATGCAATTATAATATAATTACAACCACTTCAAAATACATAGGCTACTGTTTCATGGCAATGAGTGATATGTCAAAACACAAGACACAGCAACAGCAGAACATTAATTAAGTTGATCTTTTGAGTAAGACTTTCATTCTGATGGTTGTGATAAAATGTCTGTGAGGAATTTGGTAGAGATAGGACGTCGTTATTGTCAAATTTTGTTTAGCGCTTTGTAACCCATACGTTTAAGTTGAAGTAGAGTAACAAAATATAGTGAAATGTTTTCTGATCTTTACATTATGGATTTGCATGCATATTAAACTACTAAAAAAAAAACATCTTTGGTAAACGATCTTGAAAAATACACCATGGTATCATCTGAAAGTGCTCGTCCTGTTCTTTCCAAAGATGTCTTTGGTTCGATTCTTGATAGTAGTGGTTCAGCGTCAGGGCCTGCAAGTCCTTCTCTGTTGGCCTAAAAAAATATCTGAATCACAGCCTGAGGTTAATTATATTATTATTAAATAATTCCAAATGGCCTGTCCTCTTGCTTTCAGAGCTTTTCCGATGGTCGTGCCGCTTCCAGATGTGCATTTTCATAGTCAAAGTCAAAGCTTGTGTCCCACAATCCGTTCTACAGGCCCTTGAACACAAAATAAATGTCAATGAAACTGTTGCTTTGCTTCAACCAATCAGATTTTGAGTTGGTATTTTTATTTTATTTTTTTTTAAGGGTCTTCTAGCAGACATACGATGTAACCGGATTCAGACCCGCTGATTGGACAGTAAGAACGAACCAGCCAAAGCAGCTAACTGCATCTGTAGCAGAACCAAGACTAAACCAGGTCTAAACCAGGTCTAAATCAGGTCTAAATCAGGACTACACCAGGACTAATCTTGGACTTGAGAGAGAGAGCGAGTGAGAGAGAGAGTCAGTGTCCACAACGGGCAATCAGGCGACAGAGTCCCGCGCTGAGCGGTTCTCCGCGCAGAGGCACAGTCTACACGGGCGCACCTTCAGACCAGTCCCGTCAAACAGTCCTGGTTTAGTTCTGGTTTAGTCCTGGATTAGCACCCCAGTGCTCCTCACTTCTTCTCCATGTACAGAATCTTCACGGCTCTTTATACTGTGTAGAATGTAACCATAAAATAGTTCTTGAGGAGTGGATTGTTTCAGACTGAGCACTACTGAAAGCCAGGTGTAAAATGCACGCTCCACCACTGCTAGATAACAAGCCCTTGCTATTAACAATGTATCCTTAGCTATAAAACACAAATATACAACCAAAATACTCACCACTACAAACAGTGTCCTCATCTGGTACGTCATCTGCTTTTTTAGCTCTGGTGTTTATCCTCCTTTTAAGCCGTTGGTTTTCCATGTTGTTGTTCTGTTTTTGCAAGGCTCCGGGTTCTGGCGCGAGGGTGATGACGTAGACCTCGTCAACGGCGGGAGATTATCTGATCAGATCATCAAAATTATCGGCTCATTGTCGTGGGCACATTTCATGATGAAGTTCAATTATGTGAAAAGACTTATTAAAGGAGATAGCTCAATTAAGACAGCTCGTAAAATGATCAGTTGGTTACAGTCACGCACACTTTTAAAGAAGAAACTGAAATGCAAAAATTGCCACCACAACATGAAGCTGAAAAAGAAGTGGAACACAGTGGACCATTATGCTTGGTAGGTTATGAATACAGATAATTAAATACTCACAGGCTATTGCTCCTTCATGGGCCAACTATAAAGTGTCTGGATTAGTCAGCCTATATTGTTCATTTTTTTTATTAGGGACTGGTTGTTTAAATGTTATTTTGCCTGCCT